GATATAGAGGTTATTATACGAGACTACCCTTTCTAAAACAATAATATTAAGCGACGCGAAAACGACGCCGCGGAGGAGCCGACCGGCCTTATTCGAGAGTCTATCGAGACGCGTATCTATACGGTTATAGCCGACGCTCTACTACGTACTATATATAGCGTACGCTCCCCTCGTACTAGTAATATATAGGCTAATATTATAGATCCTACCGCAAAGAACCTATTACCGAACGAGACGCTATTCTATTTAGTATATAGCGGTACGGTTGCTCGTAAGGTTATCGGATAGATCTAGGAGAAGGCTAAAGGAAACTACGACGACTAGCTCGGTAACGACGACCTAGAACTAGACTAAGTAGATAAGCTCTATATTAAGCTAGTCGCTAAGTACGTCGAGGACCGTTAGTATATCTAGCGTAAGACTAGGCCCCTAACTATTAAACAAGATAAGGTTAATCGTATCGTATAGTACTACGCCGACTAGCTTATATACGGAGATACCGCAAAGCTAGCGTACTTAAGCAGAACCGGTATATTCTCCTATTTAAACTTTAGGTATATACCTATTATTATATACTTTAGGTATATACCTAAAGTTTCTTCTAAATGTTTCTAAGTTAATACTAATAACGATTATAGATATCGTATTCTAGTTCTATAACTAGGTCGACTCGCTATCCGACTATATCCTTAATAGCCTTACCTATATAGTAGAGTAGGAGGGTATAGTAGTCCCTCTATAGCTTCGATAAGAGAGACCTCCGTTCTCCCTAACGTAGACTACCCCTCCCCTAGAAGAGGATAAAGAGTAGCTACCTTAGAAGCCTAACGTATTATCCCTCGGCGAGGAAGTCGAAAATAGTATTATTAATAGTAAGTAGTACGAATTGGTTGCTACGGTAAACTAGAAACTAAACGCTATAAAGGCGACCGACCTAGCCCGTACTAAGGTTCGAAAGAGTCTACGCGAGCTTTAGAGCCTTATTAGAGAGTAGGATAACTACGAGGATTAACTAATAGTATTTAAGGAGCGCTAGGCGAAGAAGGTAGCCGTAGCGTAGAAGAAAGCTTATATATTACTACCGCCGCTAGATAGTCCTCTACTATCTCTATCGCTACCTCTACCTCCCCTATCCCTAGGTATAGTAAACGGCGATCTACTACTTCCTCTATCTCCGAGCCCGCGGCTAGCTATAGTTAACGATAATCTACTACGTAATCCTTCGCCGTCTCTAAGTATTAACGATAATCTACTACGTAATCCTTCGCCGTCTTTAAGTAATAGCGAACTTACTAATCGCTTAGATATACTACCTACTCCTCTACCTACTCCCTTACCCGGACCCTTAGAGCCGACCGCTTAGGAGATCGCTACTACTATCTCGAATACTAGAGGTCTATATAACAAGTTTATTATTATAAACCTGCCTAGTTCGCTACCCGTACCTAATAGCATCCGGGCGGCTAGCGAGATAGCGTTCGTAGCTAGATTCGATCGGTTAAGTACGTAGGAGCGAGTTCGGGTATACGATTACCTATAGGATCTATCGGGCGGTAGTTACTAGAAGTAAGGCAAGAACCTATTTAATAAGTAGTAGAGCATTCGGTAATATAGTTGTCGGTAATATAGTTAAAGCTAGTTCGTAGTAGTAGATATCTCTCCTCTTCTATATTATATATATATATATCTACTAGTTAGTAGCTTAGGGCGGAAATGCGTCTATAGTAATAAAAGTTTAGGTATATATCTAAAGTCTCTTCCTATACTAACGTAGTATTAAAGTATCTATCTTAAAAAACATATATATTATCTATATCGGCGAAAGTTTAAGTATATACTAAAAGTTTCTCCCTCTACTAATATAGTATTAAAGTATCTAATATATATATATAATAGCTAGTTAGTTAAAAATTGTCTATAGCTATACGCGAATACGTTTAGTATATAGCGCGCGTTCGAGATATAGCTCGCTATCGCCTACGAGACGTCGCGTTCGAGATACGGCGAGATATCGCGTTTAAGATATAGCTCGCTATCGCCTTCGAGATATCGCGTTCGAGATATCCGCTATCGCTTACGAGACGTCGCGTTCGAGATTTCCGCTCTCGCCTATAAGGCGTCGCGTTCGAGATATCGTATCCGAGATATCGTATTCGAGATATCGCTCGCTATCGCGTTCGAGATATCGTATCCGAGATATCGTATTCGAGATATCGCTCGCTATTACGTTCGAGATATCGCGTTCGAGATATCGCTCGCTATCGCGTTTAAGATATCGTATTTTAGATATCGCGTTCTAGATATCGCTCGCTATCGCCTTCGAGATATCGCATTCGAGATATAGCTTACTATCGCGGTTTAAGATATCGTATTTTAGATATCGTATTTTAAATATCGTATTTAAGATAGGGCTACGCCTTCGAGGTATTACGTTCGAGATATAGCTCGCTATCGCCCCCTTCTATTATAGTAGCTACCTAGAAAGCACCGATAAGTCCTATAAGCTAGCTGCTATATTATAAAGTAATATCGGATTTAAGTTACCTTAGTAGTAGGACGCCTAGGTCGCCTAGGTCGCCTAGTACGCCTAGTATACCTAGTACGCTTAGGACGCCTAGGACGCCTAGTATACCTAGTACGTCTAGGACGCCTAGTATACCTAGTACGCCTAGGACGCCTAGTACGTCTAGGACGCTTAGAACGCCTAGGACGCCTAGGACGCCTAGGTCGCCTAGGACGCCTAGGTCGCCTAGTTAGCCGCCTATTTAGCCGTATAACGTAATATCTTAGGGACTCCCGCGGAGGCTGTATATAGTAGAATAATACGTTATATATTAATATACGAACGACGGGACTATACTAAACTACGCGTACGTATATATAGACGATAGTAAGCGAGATATATAGAGTCGTAGGATAGATCCGAGTAGTAGGAAGGAACCGGAAGATAGGGAAGAGCTAGGAGAAATATATTTACTTAAAAGCGGTTATACGCGCGCCGCGTAAGTCGGCTAGGAAATAAAGGCGCTACGAGATAGTAGATAAGCGAAATACGCGCGCGCGCTTAGCGTATAAGGAAGGACCTAAAGGTAGAGGTTTACTAAGAAGCTAGTAAGTAGGATATACGTACTTACGCTTACGCGTCGGACGCGCTAGACGGCCGTAGGGCGGAATACTAAGGAAGGGGCTCTCCTTCTAAGGTACCTTTCTTCCTTTCTTCGTAGTTCGTCTTATATAGATAGTAGCTATATTAATTTAGTGCTCCCTTTAGTTTAGTTTAAAGTTTCGTATATATTCTTAGCTACTAACCCTTATACCTTCGTTAATAAGATATTATATTCGGGATACGGCTCGCTTTCGCCTTCGGGATACGACTCGCTTTTACCTTCGGGATGCGGCTCGCTTTTACCTTCGGGATACGGCTCGCTTTCGCCTTCGGGATACGGCTCGCTTTCGCCTTTAGGATACGGCTCGCTTTCGCCTTCGGAATACGGCTCGCTCTCGGGATACGGCTCGCCCCCGGATTTCGGGAAGCGGCTCGCTCTCGGGTATCGGAAAGTAGGGCTTACCTCGGTATTCGGCCCGCTCTCGGGTATATCTCGGATCCGGCTCCGACTCGGTTAATTTCGGACTTCGGTTTTTGCATTCTACTAGTAAAAATCGGGCTTAGGGCTAGTATAAAAAGTGACTAAATTTAAGTAATTAGTATAGTTCTAGAAGGGTTATAGGTCCTAAACGACGGCTAGAATAGTCTAGTATTAATTAGTATAGTTCTAGAAGGGTTATAGGTCCTAAACGACGGCTAGAATAGTCTAGTATTTAATAGGGCCTCGCTACGTCGCCGTCGCTTTTATTTGTTTTAGGCTTTCTCGGGCTAGGGCTGCCAAGCGTTACACTTGCCTAGAAGTATTTTTAATAAATTAATAAAAATACTAGGGCGGTTTCTACGTATTATACTCGATATAATAGGCCTAGAACTACGACTTAGAAGTAGTATACTAGTAGTAATAGGGGTTAGGGGGGTCCTACTACTATATAGGGTAGCCAAGCGTTACACTCGGGCTGCCAAGCGTTACACTTGCCTAGAAGTATTTTTAATAAATTAATAAAAATACTAGGCTGACTTCTACGTATTATACTCGATATATTAGGCCTAGAACTACGACTTAGAAGTATTCTACTAGTAATAATGAGGGTTCTAAGTGTAGGGTCTTATAAAAATTAGGTAGAAATTCAAAGGAATTTTCATTAAATCTCTAAGTAGGTAAATAAATTATATCGAGTACTATAGATTTATTCTAACGGTCTAGCTATCGAATAAGTAGTATAAAATAGTAGTACTAATATTTTTAGTCCCAAGTACTAATAAAAATTAGCTAAAAATTCAAGGCAACTAGAATAAAATATCTAAGCAAGTAAATAAATCGTAGCAAATTTCTACTAACTGTCTACGATATTTTAGCGGCTAAATAGCTAGGGTAGGGTTAGGGTTCGATTTAATTAGGGTAATATAGTATAGTATTAGGGCTATTATACCCTTATCTTTTATAGAAACTTACTATCTAAGCTATATAAAACGATTCTATAGACGGCTCTATCGACGTATTTCGTCGGGACCGTCCCTCGGAAATACCCTGGTCCGCTTAGTCAGCACGACAGGGTTAGGGTTAGGCATAGTAGTAGTAGGTTATTAGTTTTGAATATTTAATTCGATTACTAAGTAGTATAAAATAGTAGTGATTTATTTAAGTACGTAGCATATTTTTAATATTCGAATAAAAATACTATAGAATATTCTAGGACGTATTCTACTAGTAAAAATCGGGCTTAGGGCTAGTATAAAAAGTCACTAAATTTAAGTAATTAGTATAGTTCTAGAAGGGTTATTCTACTAGTAAAAATCGGGCTTAGGGCTAGTATAAAAAGTCACTAAATTTAAGTAATTAGTATAGTTCTAGAAGGGTTATAGGTCCTAAACGACGGCTAGAATAGTCTAGTATTTAATAGGGCCTTGCTACGTCGCCGTCGCTATTATTTGTTTTAGGGTTTCTCGGGCTAGGGCTGCTAAGCGTTACACTAGGGTTGCCAAGCGTTACACTAGGGCTGCCAAGCGTTACACTAGGGCTGCTAAGCGTTACACTTGCCTAGAAGTATTTTTAATAAATTAATAAAAATACTAGGGCGGTTTCTACGTATTATACTCGATATAATAGGCCTAGAACTACGACTTAGAAGTAGTATACTAGTAGTAATAGGGGTTATAAGGGTCCTACTACTATATAGGGTAGCTAAGCGTTACACTCGGGCTGCTAAGCGTTACACTTGCCTAGAAGTATTTTTAATAAATTAATAAAAATACTAGGCCGACTTCTACGTATTATACTCGATATATTAGGCCTAGAACTACGACTTAGAAGTATTCTACTAGTAATAATGAGGGTTCTAAGTGTAGGGTCTTATAAAAATTAGGTAGAAATTCAAAGGAATTTTCATTAAATCTCTAAGTAGGTAAATAAATTATATCGAGTACTATAGATTTATTCTAACGGTCTAGCTATCGAATAAGTAGTATAAAATAGTAGTAATCATATTTTTAGTCCCAAGTACTAATAAAAATTAGCTAAAAATTCAAGGCAACTAGAATAAAATATCTAAGTAAGTAAATAAATCGTAGCAAATTTCTACTAACTGTCTACGATATTTTAGCGGCTAAATAGCTAGGGTAGGGTTAGGGTTCGATTTAATTAGGGTAATATAGTATAGTATTAGGGCTATTATACCCTGATCTTTTATAGAAACTTACTCTACTAGTAAAAATCGGGCTTAAGGCTAGTATAAAACGTTACTAAATTTAAGTAATCAGTATAGTTCTAGAAGGGTTATAGGTCCTAAACGACGGCTAGAATAGTCTAGTTCTTAATAGGGCCTCGCTATGTCGTCGTCGCTATTATTTGTTTTCGGGTTTCTCGGACTAGGGCTGCTAAGCGTTACACTTGCCTATAAGTATTTTTAATAAATTAATAAAAATACTAGGACGATTTCTACGTATTATACTCGATATATTAGGCCTAGAACTACGACTTAGAAGTAGTATACTAGTAGTAATAGGGGGTAGGGGGGTCCTACTACTATATAGGGTAGCTAAGCGTTACACTCGGGCTGCTAAGTGTTACACTTGCCTAGAAGTATATTTAATAAATTAATAAAAATACTAGGCCGACTTCTACGTATTATACTCGATATATTAGGCCTAGAACTACGACTTATAAGTAGTATACTAGTCCTAATAAGGGTTATAAGTAACCTACCACTATATAGGGTAGCTAAGCGTTACACTCGGGCTGCTAAGCGTTACACTTGCCTAGAAGTATTTTTAATAAATTAATAAAAATACTAGGACGACTTCTACGTATTATACTCTATATATTAGGCCTAGAACTACGACTTAGAAGTAGTATACTAGTAGTAAAAAGGGTTATAAGGGTCCTACTACTATATAGGGTAGCTAAGCGTTATACTCGGCCTGCTAAGCGGTACACTTGCCTAGAAGTATTTTTAATAAATAAACAAAAATACTAGGACGGCTTCTACGGATTGTACTAGATATATTAGGCCTATAGTTGCAACATACACGTATTATACTAGTAGTAATAAGGGTTATAAGTGTCCTACTACTATATAGGGCTGTAAAGCGTTTCACTTGCCTAGAAGTATTTTTAATAAATTAACAAAAATACTACGACGACTTCTACGTATTATACTCGATATATTAAGCCTAGAACTACGACTTTGAAGTAGTATACTAGTAGTAATAAGGGTTATAAGTATCCGACTACTATATAGGGCTACTAAGCGTTATACTTGCCTAGTAGCTTTTCTAGTAAATAAATAAAAATACTAGGACGACTTCTACGTAAAGGTATAGTTATATAGAAATTCTATAGAATATAGAATAGTCCTTACTCCTAAGACCTAAGTACTATAATCTATACGTAGTAAAGTTAAACATTTTTAACCTTGTTTTGCTAATTGTTAGTATACTAGGAATAGCAAAAAGATCTAGTAGGGGTTATAGTATAGCAATATAGGATAACTAGAATAAACTAGGATACATAGTAAATTATTTATAGATCTTTATCTAGAAAAGTATTCTAGTAGAACTAAGTAATATAAGAGCGGTAGTAGCGTAGCGTTTGCTTAGTATCTATAGGGCTTAGACTTTGCTCGTACTGCTCTAAATACGTACTACTCGCTAGAAACAATATAGTACTAGAAACGGTTTAGTATATCTTTAAGATACTTCGTATTATAAGTATTATTCGTATTAGTTATCTAATGTAGCAACCTAGTAGATTTAGGAAATATCTAGAGTAAGAGTTTATATATTAATAAAAAATAGGGTACTAAATAGCTTAGAGCTATATAATAGAAGATACTACAAGTATAGTAGGATACTAGGGTTGAAACCTAACTTAGATTGTAGTCTAGAAAACTAATCTTTATTTTACTTTTGTTCTGTTTAGATTTATTGCTATATTAATAACAAGGACTAGCTTGTATATAGGAATAAAATTAATCCTAAGCGATAGAAAGTATTATTAAGCGAAAGTATAACTAATATATATTTTCAATACTAGCTTAGATAAAAATAGACTTCCTCGGTAAAATAAGGTATTTATATAGAAATAGGACATTATATACTACGTTTATATCGAGGCTTATATCTTTCTTTTTAATCCTTATTAATCAAAATTAACCTAAAAGGTTTTAAGCTAAAGAAGTATTAGGATATACTCTCGAAGAGAGCCTACTAAGCCTAAGAAAGAATAGATCAAAGAAGATCTTTAGAATAGCTAGCTAAGCTTATCTTTTCAAAGAAAAAGAAACTTACGTTTAGTATATAGACTAAGGTATAGATAGGTTCTATTTCCCCTCTAGTTTTGTTATATAATAGGTATTCGGATGTATTGTTTAGCTTATAGATTATATATCCTTAGGGGTATATATTTCCTTATATTATTGCTACTTAGGTATAAGGGTTTAATTGCTAGGTCTATACTAATTTTAACAAAAAACAAAATATATTTAGTGTAATATTAATATACTATAAAAATTATTAGATAGCCTAAGTAGGGTTTTGTATATAACACTTAGAGTAACTCTTTAGGAAAAGAGGATATATTAAGAAGGCAAATTAGCTTAGAAGTTCCTTAGGGAGGCTATTCTTTGTCTATATTATATATTCTTTAGAAGTAATATAATATATTTAAATAAATAATTACTAGGAGATAACTTCTTAATAGCTAGACTATTATTAGTTTATTTTATATTCTACTAGTAGTATTTTAGATCTATAGAATTTTATTAAATAAGGTATATCTAGAAGATTTCTTAGATATAGATACCGTAAAACTCCCGCTTAATAGCTTGCCTAGTACGTATACTAATTAGATATAAGTTTAGGACTAGTAATTCTCTACTAGCTTTAGTAAGAAAAGCTAGAATGCATTTTATATTTATTACAAAGATATCCTTACCTCTACTAAGGCTTGCTTTAAAGAGATAGGAATATCTACCTTGTAGCTAAATATTAGTATAATTTTCTATAAGAGTCCTTCTTCGGCCTAGTACTAGGGCTAGATAGGCCGTTTACAACTTCTATACTAGCTACGGTATCTATTCCTAGATCCTAGAGCTAAACATTCTGGTGTTACAATGTTCGAGCACATAGCGTAGGCGCGGCCGTGCGTCCTCTAAACACTAAACAGGGACATCAGAATGTTTGTACCAAAACGTTTGCTTTCTATTAGTAGACCTCGCCTACGGCCGCAGAATTCGCCCGTAGCCGTTTCTTCTCGTTGCCCCTAAGAGTCGGTTATATGCCTACGTATTGTTTATATACGACTCCCTTTACGTCGCTCCTACGCAAAGTTTGGACAATCTACCTTCGCGTCCTAAGTCTCGCTAATCTATCCTAGCGTAAATATAGCTACTAGACAATCCATTCTTTTCATTAGCAGCTTGTTACTTTATACTATTACCTTACTGTCATAGTAGATTACTAGCCCCTTTATTGTACACAAGTACAGGTTTCTTCTTCACAAGCACAACGCGCGTCTAATAGAGATGTCTCGACCCGACTTAATCTTATTACCCCCGCGTAGTATAAAGATTTCCTCGCAGTGTGGAAACTAACCGACGAGAACGTAATAGCTCTTAAAGTCCTACGCGGACCTAACGAACCTAGAACTACGAAGGTAGATACACTTAGGCGTATATTCGAACAGATCGGTAATTCTATCGAGAGTAACTCGGTTAGGGCGACTATACTCTAGCGGTACGCTCTATAGCACAAGATCTAGGAGACTAGTGCTGATCCTTCACTCCGTATATCCTAAGCCTTCGTTCGAAGCCTCGACTAGCACGGCCTAATCTATTGCGCCGTCGTCCTCGGAACATCTATAGACGCCTCCCGCCGAGCAAGTAACCGTATTATCGAAGCCGCCTAGGGCGAAGATTAGTTTACTCAAGCCTCGGAGCTTGTCCGGCTTCCGTTTAGCGCTCTACTTTTAGTACCTAAACGCATTCTCGCCGACATTGTAGCTACTACTCGGATTGGACTTAGTCTCGAAGAAGCCTGTCGCTTCTAGATATAAGGCAAACGGAAGAGGCTCGCGGAAGCCTAGAACAGTCGCGTTAATAAGAGGAAGAGCGCTCTTTACGATTTCATTACCGGTAGTGATATTACCGCTGTAAGAGACGCTTACAAACCGAAACCTAGTAAGGAACGTACGATGTAGGCCTACCTACCTAACATTCCTAAAGACTATATCGTTCTCTAAGGCTTTAAGACGGGGCGCAATTTACTAGCGCCGAAAAAACACCTATTACGCGCCTTACGTAAAAAACATCTAAGGAAACCTAGGGTTAAAGCGGGTAGTAATACACTAGTACTAGATTTATAGCTAGAAGACGATAGCGTAGAACCCAATATGCCGGCATTAGACGACGAAGGAGGGAAAGGTACCTAGGACAATCCTCTTAACGTAGACGGAGATACGGCTTCTAATTTTCTTAATATATGCGATAGATTAGAGCTCCGTTTACAATGTCGCCGGCTTAGCCGTAGAGAAGGGATAGAAGC